ATGTAGTTTTATTAAGTAGCCAATAAAAGCCAATTGGCCATTCGTCATTTCATGATTTATAGAATATTTCACTATGTTTCCCAGTCTATGACAAAGCCTAACTTTGATCCAAACTAATTGCTCTGTTGTACGACTGTTTGTTAAAACCATTATAAAACAAGCAATAATGTTTTAATGTAGCTTTGAGGGAGAGAACCTGATAAACTAAATAATCTCCCTTAAATTTATCTTAAATCAACAACGTTTGAGTAACAGCATAATTGATTCATTGCTCACTTATAGCTTCTAATAAATCAATGGTAAAACCACGAAAAACATACTCTATTTCATGTAAAAATCGATGTTAAAACAAGTTTATTCACAGAAGTAGGAGGAGGAAGAGCTGCTCGTCCACTTCTGATTCTGACAATGCTTACATTTTCAGAAGTTCTAGTTCTACTTTTGCACGAATAGTGGAATTCATTAGGCGCAATAAATCCGCTTCCCGCATTTAGCTTGGAACCGACTTCTCTTCCTGCGACAGTTTTTGTCATGGAACTTGTTTTGGCCAAATGGTTTTCCCATCGCTCAGGCGCAATTCAAAGGCATGAGAGAGAGAAGATGAGAGAACGTGAGAAGTTTTCAAGATCCAAAACTAGCAACAATATTTGAAATACCAAAGTTTACGGTTGTGAACTTGAAATTGATCAAATAGCATGATTCTATTTCTGGGATTTTGGCAGTTTGAAAAGTTTCTAGATTGTTGGCTTGGAGTTCGAAAAGTCAATACTTTGATACGTTTTGAGATCTTAGGACCTGTTAAAATAAATGTTATCGTAAATAAATGCGTAAATATTAAACTTCAATTTTAATGGTTTTGATTGTAAAACTGAATTAATTATGAAACAGAAGTTCTTTGATTTTCCAGGTGTTTTTTCTGAAAAATTCCAGACATGGTCGGAGTAAATACATAAATTGAGAATACTGATTAATGTTCAATACGTGCATCCAGTTTCGGTACTAGACTTTGCAGGAAAATTTATAAATTCATGGTTTAGTTACAAAGTAAATTTTTAAGTTCGTCATCCATTAATAGGCACCATATGAGGATGTACCTTATTTTTGGTTCTATAATAGAGGAAACTATTCTTTCTATTTTAATTTTTTAATAACACGTTCACAATTATATGCGCGATACATATGTATTCGACTCCTACAAGTCAAATATTGGGTTGGGTTTTCAAAGCTGATCATTTTTAATTTTTCCACGCTCAGTTTTTTTTTCAAATCCGGGATCTTAATTTATCATATTTTAGATAATTTTTCAAAACCTCAAGATATCAAAAACCACGTTATAAATATCTTTAAAATCTTGAAAATATTACTCCAGAACCTCTGGGATCATAATTTTTTATCGAAGTCCAGGATCATGCAAAAGTGGGAAATGGAGAATATTGAAGATAAATGAAATTTTTACATGTTCGAAAATCTTTGAAATTGCTCCAAGTTAGAGATGTTGCTATGCCTAAATCTTATCAATATTTCAAAGCCCATGATTTTATTTTTCTTGATTTGAAATATCCTTTCACTTTGGGCCATATTCCATGATCTTAACTGTTTACAAGTCCAAGGTCCAATAAATTTCAAATAACCATACATTCATCCAGATCTCCTCCATCTTCATGATGACCAGCAAATCTCGATTAGCAATTTCCCCGTTTTTCTCTTCTAAGACAGCAGCACCTTTGTTCGACCATGAATTTGGTTCGACAGGTTCGAAGTCTTCACAATTTTTGTAAGAAAATTTCGCTCAAAAAACAGGCTTCTATATTTGATTGCTCTCACGCATTTCCTTTAGATTGATTTCCTTTCACAGAGTTCTTTTCAGAATTCCTCTAAAATAAATTTGAAATCCTCTCTACAATAAATTTGAAGTACCTCGAACATTTCTGTCTGTAGAACACTCCGAAAAAATCTTAAAATTTGCTCCTTCTTCGAATTTAAACTCTTTCTAAGAATTTACTGGAGCTTAATTTTTTTAATTTGCCTAAAATTCTCCATAGAATTCCATGCAATTCACCTTATATTCTCCAGTAACAATTAAAAAGAACCTTTTAGCTTTTGTGAGCAAAACTTGTAATCCCTCTTTCCTGCCAACACCATATGGTTGGGGGAAATTCTCCCGCCAAGAAGTGTCTTCAAATTTTGCTCAGAATTATCTTGGAGTTGACCTCTAAAATCTTTTGAAAATTGCATGGAATTTTCATTGAAATTCTCTTGAAATGCGCTTGGAATTACACTCGGACTTTCCTTATAGATCTTCGCACCATTTTTTTTGTAAGTGTACCTTCAAATCCGCTTCCTTTGATATTTTTCAAGAATCCTGGAATCCTCTACTCTAGGGAGTTCTAGTAAAAACTCTTTTGGAGGTTTTCCTGAAGCTCCCTAGAAAACATTCTCTGAAATACCTTGGTGTAAGCTCTAGAATTAATTCTGAAATCTGCTCAAATTTGTTTTGGAAAAAAGTCGAACATTTTCTTAACAGTTTTTCTAATTTCAAATTCGCAGTTTTTTTCTGGTTTTCCCGGCTCACTGGTCACTCTGCATTTTACATGTGAAACACTTGTTTTTAATCCCATTCTATTTGTTTTTGTCTTGAGCACATTTTGAGACCCAGCTTCGCAAGAAAATTATTCCGGATATTACGAATAATAACGAAAAGCGAATTCCTCCGGTGGGAAATCGTTAAAACAGCGCTTTCACTTCCAAAATTCTGTAAGTTAATTCAATTTAAATTGCAATAGTAACAACATTAAAATACAAAAATGTTACTGAGAAGCAAATTTTACGAGCTAAGCAATGAAGACCTAGATTACTCAATAAAGGAACCCAATGCTATCAAAGCAATGTTTGTCTACGTATATTTGAGTCATTATTCGATGTGCTACTCCAGCAATCAAAACAATCCTCTCAAGCAAGACCATTATCCTAAATTCTTGTATGGTTCAGACTCAGTTAGTTCTCTGAGCTAATCAAGCTGTTAAGATCACAAAAAGGAACAAGAACTTGAAGTATTTATAAAAAAAATCATCATCTCCTCTTGAAGCTGAGTTAAGACAAGGCAAGTCAATTGATGAACTCAGTTGAAACCATACCATTCAACTGATTTGATCAACTCACTCGAATTGAAAAAAAAAGTCGAACTAGACTCAACTTTTCAAGCCAATTGAATACAACTGAATTGATCAATGACTTGCCTTTGACTAAAACCCAGCTTAACTCTTAATCATTCTTGAATTTACTCAAAGACGCTCCAAAATGCGCTCAAGGGATTGATTTTTGTTGGACACAGCTGGATCGAGCAGACGCAACAATCTACTCGAAAGTTCAATTTTGTCAGACACAATTGGGTTAACATCTATTAAGAGATGCACATTCTTATTAGCAGCTTAAATTGTGCAACAACTAACAACGTCTAGCGTCTACGGAAACGGATTTTTATCTCAGTTCAGCTCAGGAATGTGACAACATCCAGTGGGAGCTGAATTTTTAATAGGCTCAACAGATTTCGTGATTATCATCGATGATATTGTTTGCTGATTGTGACGTTCTCTAGGATCAGTTTTACTTAAAAAAAAAGTAATTGTTCAGTACTATGAAAGTTATCACATGTTAAATACTGATCTTGGATTTAATAAATTCTATGTCTTACAATTTTCCTGACATCCATTTGCTATGCGGAATGCTTTTCAGAATTATTAAATCATTAGCTGTTGATATGTTGTTCCTGTAAGTTACAAAAAGAGGTTCTAAAATATGTGTTTGACACATGAAACCTATCAATTTTGCATCAACGGTCATTAATGGTCGGTGAGTATTCACTCTTCATGAAGGGTGAATATTCACCGATTATAAAAATGTGCCTCTCTGAAAGCAAAACTGACAGCTTTTATGTGTCAGACATCTACTTTACAACCTCATCTTGTAACTTACATGTGCGAACATACCTTCTAATGATTTCATAATACCGAAAAATATTTTTTTTTATTGCAAACGAATGGCAGAAATCTTGCTCAATACTAACCAAAGTTATTCTCGATATTGTTGCATGTATTGTTAGCAAACTTCCATTATTGATAAAGTGTTAACAAAACAGTAACAACATCAGAACCTCACTTGATCGAAATTACAGATATAAGACTCATTGACCATCACTGTTCCTAAAACGAAAGCCAGGACAGCTTGAAACATGAACAACGAGATTCTACCGTCGGCACTTTCAATCCCACATAGATGAACAAAAAAAAACCAACTTCTATCCAATTAGCACCTTTTTTCACAGTTCATCACAAAAATGGTACCTTCACCATGTTAAAAAAAAAACAAAAATAAATACTTTTGAAAAAGCTTCCGAAAAAAAAACCACAACTGCTGCTGCAACAATTAGCCTCACTTCGTTAGCACACACTTGCCAATCGCCTCTCTCCGGTTTCCTGACCGACAGTAGTAGGTAGGTACCCCTTGTCGAAAATTTCAACTTTCAACTAGTCTTTCACCTCGACGACGGTGGACAAAGAAGCGCAAAACCGCACTCGAAATTACTTTCACCTCTAGCTCCTCGGTTCACCGCCAGAGATCCTTTTCGGCACACTGAAATCAAGCAGCCCTCCTCAATGGGCAACTTCCGCACTGGAGTTTCTTGCTTTTGCTTCACTTCTTTCGTTGTCCACCACCACCACCACCACCGCCCGGCCGGAGAGCCGACAAAAGAAGGCCAAGACAGAAAAAGGTGTCAATTTTGATCTTCCTCTCCGCTTGATGACGGCCAACACCTTTCTCACTTCTTTTCGAATGTGTGTGACAGGTGAAAATTAAGTACGTATCCCACAATTTTGGTTGATTTTTTTTTTGATTCAGTGACAGGCCCATTTTGGGCGATTTGACAAATATGGAAAAATGCAGTCACCTGCCTTGGTACGGCTGCAGTTAATGTTTATCGGTTTTGGGGAACATTTTCTTACCGTGGAGGAAGGTCTCTGCTGAGAAACTATATTCTCGAAGGCGATTTGAGTTGCAAACTGACTGGAACCATTTTTGGATAATCCCAGAAGGCGGGGTGCACACCGAATTTATCACAGCACAGAAGGGCACACTTTGATCGCACAATAGACTGTCATTTGCACGCGCACACAGCTGTCTTGGACAGAGAGTAGCTTCGCGGAGTTTTGCCCGCTGCTTGACGAAGGCCAAACGACAGGGGGTTCACAAATTTCACGATTATCTTTAGCAAATGCAACCGATGCAACCGTTTACTCCGTCTCCTTCATTGTTCGATCACTGATTTTCGTTATTTTTCACTTTTCAACCCTTGGCAAGAGCGATGATGACGATGACGTTCTACATGTTACGTGTGTCATGTAGGGCTGCTGTAGTGCAGACAGGGTGCACTGTGTAGTGTTCTTGATGGTGGTTCTGTTCCGCGATCCACACTTGCTGCGCTCCACCGAGCAACTGCCAGAGCAAAAACGACGTTGACTGCACGAAAGGCTCCACACTTGAGCCGAGGGGTCCGGGGGTCTCGCTCTCTTTCTAGCCCATCACCAACCGCCAAAGTGTATATGGTGATCCAGCACACGCGATCCAAGCTCCAACCAGAAACCGTCTACACGGCGCGAATGTCTGCGAACGAATGAAAAGGAAAATTTCAGTTAAAATGCTGTATTGTGACGACGGTGGCGGCCACCGACTGTCGCCGCCAACTCACTCGCATTCGTTTCTACTGGCACACACACACATACACTAACCTCAGCGCGCACAGTGTGTACACACGAAGAGAGGGAGTCGCGGTCGGTGGTGGTGGGTGAGCGCGACTCGTCGACGCGGATACGAATGGCAATGCGAAAGAGGGAGAAGGAACGAAGCACTTGCCAGCGCGCGAAGTGAAGGCGATCTTTTGTGGGGTTCGGATTGCGTTGGTGTGCCCGTTGTCGCTGTGTCGCTACACATCGTGTACGGATAGGCGACAGTTCGTACGTGACTACACATCGTGTGTACACGAAGGAGCGCCTGCGCTTTGCCGAGGTGGCTCGTTGGCTTGCTTGGTGTGGGGTTGCCATGTTCGTACACACAAAAGAGTGCACGGCGAACGCGTTGGAGGGGTCGGACGATTCAAGTATGAGTTGGGCTCGCACATGTTCGAACAACCACCGAAAGCAAGAGACGAAGAACGAGAGCGAGAGAGAGAAAACGAAGCCCGTAGGCGTTCAGAGAGTAGAACTTGTATGACTTCATCCGCATTTGCGCGTCGTCGTGGCAGAAATCGTGTGTGAGGGATTTTTCCACATATCAGGATGACCCTTCTCTCGCTATTGCACCCCCTAGTTCTCACCCTTTACCATCTCGCTGCAGATTTGTCCCACTCCACAGGAAAAAGATGGAAGTCAATTCCCGAACTCTTCGGAAATCAAATCTCAATCACCCTCTTCTTCGATTATGAACAGTAAAATACTCCTATATGAGTCAACTTCCTTCGGCGCAATCACACACACCCCTCGCTAGTCAAACAGACGAAATTATTTATAATTTTTTAATTATTCACCAAAAAATGGGTCAAACTATCACCGAGACATCGAAACCGGCATTTACGACACCACCAAAGAAAACAGCGGCAAAAGTGCGCGCGAAACTTTATTCCAATCCGACCGACTTGAACAACACCAAAAAAAAAACGAATCATGATAATTATGTTAATTAGCATTCATTGCCCCCTCGACAAACACAAATACGCACACATACACACGCACACAGAGACATATTTCCGCACGCAGCCGCTTGCTATTCGATTCCGCCATTCAGACGACGGAAATTTGACGGTTTTCGTGTGTTTGCGGTCGCAAAAATCTCCAGGCTGTATTACTGGACTAATTGCTGTGTTTTTGTTGTTGTTGTTTGTTTCAGCCAGGTACCTGTCTGATTTTATTGTGTTTTTCCTTTGCCAGCGCGCGCGCGGAGCAACAGTTCTCGCATTTTTCGAGGTCGCGGTCAAATTAAATTTAGGATAAAATCAAGACCAAGGCGGAACGGGAAATTAGCGTAATTAACGGGCGAATGTCGCACGCAAACGTCAATCAATTAGCCATAAGCGGGAGGGAGTGCCTGTCAAAGTGACAGTTGTTGTTCTTTGTCGTCTATGCGCGTGATTGCAAAAGTGCAAATGCAATATGTAGACTAATTGGGAGAATCAAATTTTCGTGTCTGCTACAGCTACAGGGCACTGTAGATTCTACCAGCGTCGTACGATAGTTCGTGACATCGGACGGAGCGTAAAGCTGGGTTTAGATTAGGCAAGTCAAATGAAAAACTCAGTTGAATTCAATTTTCTTGAAAAGTTGAACCTGGTTCAACTTTTTTCAATTCAAGTGAGTTGATCAAGTTAGTTGAATTGCATGGTTTACACGTTTACAATTGACTTGCTCTGTCTAAACCCAACTTAATGGTAACTGGCAACTGACAATGCGTGAGTAAATGTCATATGAAAAAGGAGATACTTTGTTGTTGAACCCACTTAAGATTTTTGTCAATGGATTAAAGTAAGCTGTCAGTTTCAACCTCACCACTAGTGGCAGCATGGCGCCACCTTCCTATGGGCAAACAAATTTTTAAATAAAAATGTATGGAGAATTGAACATTTTCCAAAAATGTCGATTTTAGAATCGAACACAAAAAACATATTTGGTAGGCCAGTTCGGTAAAAAGAAGTGAAAAGGGCTCTAATTTCATATGAATAAACATTTTTCGGTTTTCTGCATACTAGCGACATCTGTTGCGACCATCAACCAAGCTGTTATAATCTATTTTTGGTCATGCTGCAAGCTGATGGTTTAATTTGCAAAGCCAAGTGCGGTCATTGTCATTGCGCAGAACCTTTGCCGCTTTTGGGCAAAATTAATGTTTACGAGTACCGTCTAAAACCCTTTACGGCATCCCGAAATTACTCTCGTAAAAATTGCAACATCTTCGCAGCTGCACTGTGACAGCAGCAGCAGAAGTAACGGCGGCGGCGGCGGCAGCGGCTCCAAAACACATACACAAACAAATAAATCGCTAAAGAGCACGCTTGAAACGGGCGATCGTATAATTTTGGACGTGTAATTAATTGAAGATTAAAGCCGCTGGCGGCTGCGGCTACAACAAAGTTTCGGACGACATGATGGACTAGTTTCGTTGGAATGGAACATGGACGACGGACGGAGGAGAGCACTGACTCTGATGACATTTCGCATCATCATCGGCCAAGCAGCATAGACAGCGAGATTACGGTGCAATTATAGCTCAAATTAATTGCAATAGAACGAGAGTGGCGTTTATTAAATATATGAAAAGGACCGAGCAAACATGCAAAACTGGCACATCTGGGGGTTGGTGTGTTTGGGAAGGAAGTTTTCCGAGGAATCGGGCGACAGGCAGTGTTGTAAGCTTTTCATGAAGTTCGATTTTTTTTATTAGGGCTTGACAACTGTCAAACTTGCCGTTTCCGTTCCGCTTCCGCCCACCTTGCGTTTGGGCTGTGTTCTTTTTGGTATATTTTCACTTAAATTAAGATGTTCGAAAATCCCACTGTGCTGATCCGCCGATTTTCGAGAAGGTGTTGCCCACAATTTATTCCTGGTCGGTCAGAAATAAGTCTGGTCAAAAATAGCAAAAAAAAACCATCTATCGAATTTAAGTGAAAATTCACCACATGGAACACAGCCTTAAGGCCCGAACGCATTGTGGACGGAAGCGGAACGGAAACGAAAAGTTTGACAGTTGTCACAAATTACATCAAGAAGCCTAACCGATGTCGATTTGGTTCTAACTTGTTATCAATCCGACAAGTAGGCTTACTCAGATCGGGCTTTTCCGCTTCCACTGCCGTTCCGCTGCCACTGCCGCTCCGCTTCCGCTGTCATTGCGCTTGAACCTTTAATGCCCAAGCGCAATGAGAGCGGCAGCGGAAAAGCCCGATCTGAGTAAGCCTACTTGTCGGATTGAAACCTAGTTAGAATCAAATCGACTTTGGTTAGAAATCTTGATGTCATTTGTGACAACCGTCAAACTTTCCGTTTCCGTTCCGCTTCCGCCCACATTGCGATTGGGCCTTTAGGGTGTGTTCTATTTGGAGAATTGTCACTTAAATTTGACACTTCGCAAATAAATTATTATGTTCGAAAATCCCTCTGTTGATGATCGTCCGATTTTCGCAAAAGTTGGAGGCGAACCAGCCTCAGGCTGAAAGCCTCCTAAATAAAGATAAATCAATCAATCAATTTTCGCAAAAGTGTTTGTCAAAATTGATTCCTTGTCTGACAGAAATAAGTCTGGTGTAATAGCAGGTTTAATTGAAAATTCATCAAATGGAACACAGCCTTAGTAGTTTCTTATCTTGACATTTATTTTTGACTCGATAAAATTTTAGACTACGGCCACATTTTTGCGAATTCAAAAGGGTACCCGGTTGAAACTAAAGGCCTAAACGCAATGTAGGCGGAAGTGGAACGGAAACGGAAAGTTTGACAGTTTTCACAAATGACATCAAGATGCCTAACCGATGTCAATCTGACAATTAGGCTTACTCAGATCGGGTTTTTCCGCTGCCGCTGCCGTTCCGCTTCCGCTGTCATTGCGCTTGGGCCTTAACGATTTTAAATTGGCTCACTACTTGACTAGCCTATTGGTCCCAAGCAAATCGTTTAACGTACCCCGATATTCTAGTACTACACTATTTTTGTTTTGATTCGCTATGAAAGTTTGCAGATAAAATGAGGGGTTCGTGGATTTTCCTTTGTTTCGAGGGGTGCATCGATTAGCTTGGGACCGAAGAGAGTACCAGAGCTGAGCCGAAAAGTTGAGCACGTTTCTTCGGGACCTTCTGGTCTTAGAGTTACCTCTATGCTTTCACCAAAGAATAATACTAAGATGAAACTGTCGGAAGAAAAACTTTCTATTTTAGTGTCCTCTTTCACGGTCCCTTTCATCCAATGAATATCCCCCGTATGCAAGATAATTTTGTGGTTTTTCTACCCCCTCGTTAGAGATGAAATTTTGCGCTCAATTTGATCAAGTAGTGAGCCCAATTAAAATCGTTAGTTGCCACCAGTTGGTGTTACCAAGCGAAAATCTTTTCTCAATTTTCCCAAGATTTTTCCTCAATTTAGCGTAACATAATAAATGGATCGCTCCTAAACAGTACCACTGAAATTTCAGTCAGTTAATTCGTGACGTCACGATGCCGAACCTAATAGATCCACCCGGGTTACATAACACACCCTTGCCTCGTACCGCTGCCGCCGCAATCCATTCCCAACAGCTGCCTGTTCCCGTCAGCAGCACCGGCCCCGAATTTTGACGAATCACCACTCTCCCATCAAAAAGGTACAAATTATACATAGTAGTAGTCGGCGCAAAAAAAAAAATGAATCCAAATCAAGCGAACCGGTCAAACCGGTTCTCCGCTCTGCTCTTCCTCAACTGCGCGGTCTTCGAACACCCCGAACTCCGAAGCTGCATTAGCTTAGCGCCGCGCAGCTGAATTTGCCTATTTCCCTTTTCGCCCAAATCCATGGCCTGCTGCCACGTGCCAAAAATTGATCTATATATTTCCTGCCCTAGCCTAGCGGTGAGTGCGCCGCTGCTTTGAT